AACCAAAGAACACATTACGCCGAGAAATAGAGACAGACATGAGAAGAATGAACAAGAACTGGAAAGAACTAGAAAAGAAGGCCCAGGACAGAGTGGGTTGGAGAAAGCTGGTCGGCGGCCTATGCTCCATTGGGAGTAACAGGCGAAAGTAAGTAAGTAAGTAATCTGTGGCCAAATACTAGTAAACTACGAGTATCTTCTACTCTTAATGGCCATGTTTCACAGCCGTAAAGTAGAACAGAGCGAACTGCTGCACAGTACACTCGTCCATTAATTGATAGACGGATATCTCGTCTTCGCCATAGGTGACGTAAGTTGGAAAAAGCCGAACGAGCTTTTTGAATCCGTGCAGAGATTTGGTCAGACACCAACCCATTAGGGCTGATCAGACTTCCAAGATAAGTGAAGTTGTCGACGTGTTTGACTACTTTACTCCCTATCTTTAGTTCAGGTGTTGACGCAGGCCAGTCCTGGAGTAACAATTTACATTTGGATGGGGAGAAACGGCCGAGTGGGGAGAGTCTACTCTCCCTCTCGAAATGCTCTCACATGGCCAGCGAATATATAGCCTCTGTCAGGGAAGTCCTACTCACTGCCTTCTCGTGGTGAGGGTGTTATTCATAAAAGTAAGAGGACGAAAAGCGAATGTCCGGCGCTTTAACCTGGTTGGTGGATGTGGAGGACCCACCTAGGAGAGTTGGAAAACCCTCATTCCAAACCAATGGAGCACATGGGCTCCAGTATCCTGAGAGAACAAATGGCGTATGAATCAATCGATGATCACCGGCTACCATGGGACTGCATCTCCTCACGATGTTCCACTGCCTTGTGGATCAGATCTTTCGGTCGAAGGCTCCGGGTGTGGGCCCCTAAGAAAACCACCTGTTTCAGTTCGGGCACCTGGGAAGTATCACAGCCCTTACACAAATCGAATGAAATTTGTATGGCGCATATGTATCTGGTGCTTCCTTGTACTAATATTTATGTGCTTAAATAAATAAAAAATAAAATCTTCTACTCTTAATGGCCATGTTTCACAGCCGTAAAGTAGAACAGAACGAACTGCTGCGCAGTATACTCGTCCCTTAATTGATAGATGGATATCTCGTCTTCGCCATAGGTGACGTATGTTGGAAAAAGCCAAACGAACTTTTTGAATCCGTGCTAAGATTTCGTTGGACATCAACCCATTAGGGCAAGACAAGTGAATCTGTCGACACGTTCGACTACTTCACTCCCTATCCTTAGTTCAGGTGTTGACGCAGGCCAGTCCTGGAGTAACAGTTTACATTTAGATGGGGAGAAACGCATCTCAAACATCCTGGCATTATTACTGAGTTCCAACAGAAGACTCTGCATTTTGTCAACATTTTCACCAAACAGGACTATGTCATCTGTGTATTCTAAGTCGCTTAGTGGTCCCCCTGGTAGGAGATCAATTCCTGAAAATTCAGTCGAAGAGAGTGTTATTTCCAGCAACAGGTCTATAATGAAGTTAAACAAAAATGGGGATAGTGGACAGCCTTGACGGACACCACTTGAGGTTGCAAAATCATATGACAGTTCGCCATAAGCTCTCACTCGACTAACAGTGTTCGAGTAAAGAGCCTTCACAAGGTTTATGTACTTCTCAGGTACACCTTTCAATGACAAACACTGCCACAGAACCTCTCGGTCTACAGAATCAAATGCTGCTTTCAAGTCAAGAAAAACTATCATTGTCGGACGCCGATAAGCGTGTCTGTGCTCTAAAACTTGACGAATGGTGAATATGTGGTCGATACAGCCACGACCAGGTCTGAAGCCAGCCTGATTTTCTCGTGTTTGCAGTTCACGAGTCTTAGTTAGGCGCCTGATAATTATTGAGGCTAGTATTTTAGATACTATGTTAGTCAGACTAATCCCTCTATGGTTATCGCAGGATGATTTTGACCCCTTTTTATATATTGGGACAATCAGTGATTGTGACCAGTTGGATGGGATTACATCCGTCTCCCAGATTTTAGCCAGAATATCAGTCAACCTAATCGCTAAAATTGGACCACCATATTTAAAGACCTCTGGAACCAATCCATCAGGACCAGCTGCTCTTCCTCGTTTCAGATTACTTATAGCCTTTTGAACTTCAAGTAGGGTCGGGGGGCCTACTTCAATGTTCCATTCAGGTTTTCTAGGAATAGTGGGTAGTTTTGCAGTAGCTGAAGGCCAGCTAAACTGCTCCTTAAAGTGTTCGCCCATCGTTCTAAACGTTTGGGTTGAGAGCAGATAAGGGTTCCGTCTTTTTCGAGGATTGTCTCACTTACACTTGACTTCTTAATTCCGGTTTCTTTTATTAGTCTGAATAGTTGCCTAGTGTTGCCTACAGCCGCTGCCTTTTCCATCTCTTTTGCTTTCGTTGCCCACCACTGCTCACGATCGTTCCTTAGACTTTTAGTTAACCTAGATCTAAATTCTTTACGCTCTTCATGTTCAGAGCCTGATGGGATGAGTTTACGAGAATCCATCAGTGAAATAGACTTAGAAGAAATCCATTGGTTTTTTGGAGCCCTATGGTTTAAATGACCAATAGATGTTACTGCTGTTTCCACAGCTGTTCGTATGTCTTTCCAAGCAGCTTCTGGGTCAGTCTCGTTTACAGAACTGCCTAGATGTAAACTCAGTAGTTTCTGGAATTTGCATTTGGCTTTTTCGTCCTCCAGTTCAATCCTAATGGGTCTTCTTAGTGTACTTTTCCTACTCACTGCCTTCTCATAGCAAGGGCGTTGTTCACGAAAGTGAGAGGACGAAAAGCAAATGTCCGGCGCTTTAACTGGGTTGGTGGACACGGTGCGTCCACCTAAGGGATTTGGAAAACCCTGATTCCAAACCAATGGTGCACATGGGCTCCAGGATCCTGATGGAACGAATGGCGAATGAACCAACTGTTGGTCACCGGCTACCATGGGACTGCATCTCCTCACGATGCTCCACTGCCTTGTGGACTAAACCTTTAGGTCAAAGGCTCCGAGTGTGGCCCTCTAAGAAAACCACCTGCTTTAGTTTGGGCACCTGAGCAGTATCACAGCCCTCACACAAATCGAATGAGATTTGTGAGGCGCATATTTATCTGGTGCTTCCTTGTACCAATATTTATGTGTTTAAATCAATAAATAAATAACTTTTCCTGCGTCCATTGAGGCGCAGACAAATGCGCGCTCGTATTAAAGCGTGATTAGAGTCTAAACAAGTATTCCAATACGAGAGACAATCTTCTATTGAGCCTCTCCAACGATGACTGATGATAATATGGTCTATTTGAGTCCATCATTGGTTTGGTGCAGGTGGCCGCCATGTTAGACGATGTCTCTCTTTATTCTTAAAATTAGTGCTTGCTAAAAATAAACGATTGTCTGAGCATAGTTGCAACAGACGATCACCATTATCGGTTCGTTGAGCCGGAATACTAAAACACCCACCTAGATGTCTTTCTGTTTGATTTAAGCTGCCTACCTGGGCATTAAAGTCACCCGCTACGACTACTATGTCTGAGCGCTTAGCTTTCTGAAGAAGCTCAAAGAGCTTTCTGTAAAAGTCATCTTTCACTTCATCATGGCTACAGTCAGTGGGAGCGTAGGCAGAAACGACGAAAAGGCAACGACGTGTGTCCCTATCCTTCCGAGTTCCTATGGAGCCATTTAGCCGGACAGCACACAGGCGACTGTTAACGGGGATAAATTCTAGTAGTGCCTGTTCTGCCCTTGTACTTAGTGCTATGCCTACACCTGCAAGTCCGCGAGAACTAGCCAACGGGTCGCCAGATACACGGAGGGTGTATTTCGTTGGCTGTCCATTTTGGCGAGGTGAGGTCAAGTGAATGACCTTCCCAGGACCATTTTAAGAGTTGCTAAAAGTCATCAGTAAGGTATGCTTTCATCTGATATTCTTGTGACAACAGATTAAAAAGTACTCTGACCATAGTTGTGAAAGTTAGTGGTAATAATGAACATGTTATATATATGTCAGTAGAATTCTGCAAACTAGTCTCAATTATGTAAAATCCAAAGGGTAGTTAGGCAAATTACTTCAGCCTCATAAAGCCATTGTGTTTTGGCTAGACACCAGTTAAATCAACAATTCTCGAGTCGCTGGCACACTCGTAAGACATGCAAGAAGGCTGCACATACTTAGTCCTTTCTGCTATTTACCAAGAGACTAATATCATCAATTATCTGCGTGCCCATTACCCCATAGTAGGCTAACACTATCAGAGTTAAGGAAGACAGGAAGGAACATAAATGAGTTCAAAAAGAGAGTAGAAGTCAGCAAAGAAACATCTAGCCTTTATGGAAGCCATTAAAACAGAGGTGTCGATACTTTACTTGACAGAATGATCAAGTGACATTAAAATCTCTCATAGGAACAAAGTTAATAGGTTTCAACAACTAACGACGGAAACATCCATAGGATGACCCGCCCTGAGGTCTTGGGGTGATTAATTATAGGTGATAGAAACTAATGAATGGCTGAAGATCGAGATACACACTTCGAGATGTTCGCATTAGAGCCGATATCAGTACGTAAAGAGAAATCTAAACCTGACTCGAAATCCAAGCACCAAACATATGAGATTAAATTTTTGAAATGAATTGCTTGCGGGGCAGACTTTTGGTTCGTTTGTCTGCATCTAACCGTGAACATGAATTTTCGTGACTTATTCCTAAGTGATGCTTCATAGTGTTACTTAAACTCGTAACTTACAGCTGTTCTGCAGAATCGAAAAACCATGAACAAAATAATGAAAAATGATCGAACTCCTTTTATCTTCTCACACTACAAAAGTTATAACCACTGTTTTAAAGATATTTAACATATTTAACTATTAGTAGTGTTCACATCAAGTCCCAATTACCACGAGCATGTAACTAACCGAGTATATTTTGTAAAATCTTTAACTAAGGCAACACGTAAATGAATTCGAGACTTGTGTTATGCAACATATACATTCAATAGCAAACACTTACGTACATGTAACGCAAACTCTCAAATTCAGATGCAGTCCAAATTTCCAATCTCCAATATCACCAATATCTTTGATACGAGAATGTATAAAACGACTGATTTCTTCGAATCCTCTTCTTTTGTTGGTTTCGTATGCTTCTAGTTATTCGTTATTGCTCAATGGCTTGTAATCTATTCACTAAACTTCACTAGTTGCAACAATTTCAGAAGTTATGTGTAGCTTTGTGTATCTTAAAATGGGAGTGAGTGCAGTTGTCTTAAGACAGCAGATTTTCTGAAACCAGTGGATATAGCATTTCTAGTTTTAACAATCATTCATCGGAAAAAAGCATTTTAAGCCAGTTTGTAGCAGTAAATAGATCCTTAAATTAAATAGTTCTGAAGACTCCTGAGGTATCAGGTCACAAATGGGCACGTCCTACTACATATCCCTTGCAATTGACAGTCGGCTTAGACCTAACACTTCTCAACATTTCGATGGCCTTCCAAATATTTCTTCGAACCACTTCACTTCTGACTTGACTGGGTCGATATACTTCGATTATAATGATGTTACGTGTAAAAACGTTGTAAGACTACAAATACGTAAGACATCTTCAAGTTGTTATGTATTAAATTTTGTCTATTTTCTTATGATAGAACTTGTTCGGGTACTGAATTCCACCCGACATCCATTTAATGGGGCATCCAACATGAGTTTATTAATTCATAGTTTTTAAGCCTTAATACGATAAGCTTGAGCATTTAGATCCCTAAAGCGGGTAAAAATATTAGCTCTGTGAGTATTCAAGTTATTATTCAATATAAATTGTAACAATCTATTGTTACTCTTTATTCTATGATAAATATTACTATTTGGATATCTTTGTACGGAACAGCATGAAATTTTACTGAAAAATTCGAAACTTACCCTTGAACACTTATGAGAATATCTGCATGTCCATGTTTAAATGGACTAGTGGACAAAAATATTCTAGACAGCATCACAGTTTTGTGTTGTCACTTCTAGCTCATCAGCCAAAATGCTTGCTGTAACATCACCTAACGACGCTGAAGCTAAAATCACATAAACGCTGACAATCTGAATAAATAAAGAGATTATCGATGCCAAAGAATTTAGTGGAATATCTTCGAGACAATCCCTGACTACCGTGACCAAATAGCCTCCGAAGGTTTACACATTTCAGAAGAAAATACGAAGCGTTGACTACAGTTCATTGTTATACAGCGCAGATCTCAAAGCCACAAGCACACTGCAAATATGAGTAGAAATGTGAATAAAGGCAAATATAGGCGAGTAAATTAGGGAAAATAATGGGACGATTGAATTGAAAAGACTTAAAAAGCACATATGGGCACGAAAGCGAGTGAGTGATCAAGTGATTTCAGAAATCAACATCTAAGGAAGTAAGAAGGATACATTTGTATAGGCTGTAACAAGTGCTGAAGAAAACATGTTCATACAGACATGATAATCTCTAAACGAAGACATGAACAAATAATTACTGTCCGGAAGAATTTGTTTATTAAGTGGGTAGATGAAAAGCTTGGCAAAGTTCAACATATACGGACTGAATTGTTGGTGAGGTGCTATGGGACGACTGTTGAAGTGGGATTGTGAGATTTTATTAAGTTAATTTTCAAACTGTCTTTAATTTAAAGTTAGTGTAGAATCAGTAGTATATCACTAATCCATCGACAAAGTATTACTCAACCTCGGTGGGTTCGACAAATGAATTTGTAGACTTGTAACAGTTGATTTCCTTGGTTCGAAGCATTTTGCTGACACTTATACTTCCTCTGTGGTTGGATCCGTCTGTCCAGCTACCAGCTACCTGGTTTATTAGTTAACAGTAGTTAAATTAGACTTCAGCGTGAAGATATCATTTAACAAATTTTAAGCTAACTTAGATGTCAATGATAATAATTATTATTTGCAAGCGATTTTGAATGTAGCGGTAATATATCCTTAAGATAAATAATTCTGTAACTCTTCAACATCAGTGCCTTTCTCATAAGTCTTGATAAACCAAACCTATCTAAAGGGGCTCGGTTACGTATTCATTTCGGACTACTAGTGAGTACGCCGTTCTGCACATCCATGTAACTACTACCCAGCTTAAGTATAATACCACTCAACATGCCGGCAACTTTTCAAATATGTCTCTGAACTCAATCATCCCTTACTTCCGATTTGACTGGTTTGATATCATTCGACTATACTCGTTTGATGGACAAATGCGTTGCCAGACATTGAATATCTGCAGAATCTTAAGTGATGAATTCGATGTGATCCGGCACACCAAACGATAAACTGTGAGTTTGCTCCTTACAGGAACACTATACATAATCTTTTTACAAATCATAACATTAGTTCTGTGTCCCCAGGTTTTCCTCTTTCGCTCATTTATATTTTAATACTCATACTGGCGGAAAAGACGTCAAAACTGCCGAAGATTCAGACGCCATCGCTTCTCACCTTCCAACCCATGACATTCTAGCACTACAATATCAGGGTACGGGTTTTCACTCTATTATTTTTACTGTCTTTAGCTATGTTCAATATTATATTTTTGATACAGTATAGAATTCTCAGTACTAAGTACTTCAAGAAATTTCTTTTTCTAATTTCATGATCGATCCTGACTATAAATACTGAGTGATCACCAGATAGAGGTTAGCAGTTTAGGAGTTGACATCTGAATGGTACAAATCCTATTCCATTATTATTGCCAGCAATTACGATGTCTCTCGTTGGGCTCTGTTGTAACCCGAACAGCGAAATGTCATGAACTTGTAGAATTATGGTCAAGTTTGCCATTAGAACTGCTATAATAATAGACGTAATACTAAAGTTATAAGTTTGCCATTATATGACTACCTAATGTATAAGATCTTACGTGGAAGACACAGCATCATCTATTCTGACTTGCCGTATTGTAACAATCAGCAATATAATGCTAAGCGTTTCTAAAGTACACATTTAAGCTGGAGACAGGAAAATATATTTGATATGAATAAAAGAGATGAGTAACACATGAATGACCACGCCCCCAAGGCTGAGCCATGCCATCTGATTGAGTTGAATGAATTTTCCCGCGTTCTCCATTGGCAACCCTCTCTTTTTGTTAATTTTTGAACATAAATCTTTTCAGTAATTATATGCTCGGCTTCAAAGGTCGTGTGGTTAGGATTCAGTGCCACCACAAACTTCGCGCAAACGCATGTATAAATGAGTAACAAATGGTCTGTTGAAACAAATATAAATCAGATAACTTATTGAAATATCTGGATGACAATAACTAGGTAGTCCAGATATTCAGCCACGCCACCCAAATCTTCTGTTACGCTGAAGTTGATACTATGAGCACAACGTGACAGATCCACGTGCGCAATTCTGCTGTTGAACTTTAATAGGTTAGACTGAGTATGTTTAGTAGTATCTTCGGACCTTAATTTATAAGAGACTACCCTTAAGATTAGGGAAATAACCGATCGACAAATTCCAGACCAGCTTCTCTACAATGCAAATCGCCGTATATTCCTGGAAAATTTATGTATCTTTCACTTTCTTCAATGTTTGTTGAATTAAACTTCTACACGAACGGGCTAACATACTCAGTGGTTTCGGTTGAATCTGCAGATTTATGGTCTAGTTAGGTCTTAGTACATTTATTTCCGCTACGATAATAATAGATCCAATCCTAAAATTGTAGACGTCATGATGTGACAACCTGATCTATAAGATCTTACATGAATGTCACATCATAATCTATACTAACTCGTCCTATGGTGAAATCAGAAATGTGATGGTTAGTACTTCTGAAGAACATATTTTGGCTGGTGATGAAATAATATATTAAATAAACAAAGGTATGAGCCACACAAAAAGACTACGCATGCAAGGCTGAGGAATGCCATACTGATCAATCGTTCTGCGTTCACTATCTCTTAACTTCTCTAAGTGTTACATGTTGAATGGAAATCTCAATAATTATGCGCTTGTCTTCAGAGATCACGTGGTTAAGGGCCAATACTAATAATAATCTGCTCCAAATCGATGCCAATCAATCGACAACCCTTGAACACAATGAATTTGTATTCTGCACATAAAGTCTTTTGCTTAATTCTCAACACCTGTGGAATGTTTTAGGGTAGTATTCTTAAGCTAAGTATTTTTATCAAGTGCAATAACGAGAGAATATTAACACTGAGAGTCCTTAGATTTACCTAGCTACGCGACCAACAAAGATTAATCAGTAAACAGTATGGTTCCGACTGAAGATACCACAGTTATTGTAGTTTGACAACACTTTAACAAAAACACCTTCTACAATTAGATCGCGCTCACCCAGGGAATTATTATTTTATTATATTTTTTTATTCATTTAAACACATATATATTGGTACAAAATGGCACCAGGTACATATGCGCCACACTATTGTGTGTGGGCTGTGATACTGCCCGGGTGTCCAAACCGAAGCAGGTGGTTTTCTTAGGGGATCACACCCCGAGCCTTTGACTAAAAGGTCTGATCCACAAGGCAGTGGAGCATCGTGAGGAGATGCAGTCCCATGGTAGCCGGTGACCAACAATTGGTTCATACGCCATTCGTTCCATCAGGATCCTGGAGCCCATGTGCACCATTGGTTTGGAATCAGGGTTTTCCAACTCCCCTAGGTGGACCCTCCGTGTCCACTAACGCAGTCAAAGCGCCGGACATTCGCTTTTCGTCCTCTCACTTTCGTAAACAACACCCCACCACGAGAAGGCAGTGAGTATGACCTCCCTGGAAGAGGCTATATATTCGCTGGCCATGTGAGAGCATTTCGAGAGGGAGAGTAGACTTTCCCCACTCTCGGCCGTACCAGGGCATTTGGGGGCTAGGGAAAACCAAAAGTCAGATGCGAGGAGTTTGGAAGATATATTTGATGGATTATCAATATATCGATAAGTGAGTTGTCTAATCTGGCAAGTGATCGCAGGAGACTTTTAGCACGCCGTTCCAAACCGTGATCTGTTGCGGATGCATGACCGAG